AATTGTTGCTAACTTTATGAAAGTGATACTGACAAAAAGTTTTCAAAAGAAAATATAACTAACAATTTCAATGAACCTGGCTATTTTTATCACTAAAATGAAATGTTGACTTAAAGAAATGCCCTTTGACCCAATACATTTAACGACGCCTCGAATAATTAATAATTATATCTCTTCAATATGATTAGTATTTGATTTTTATTATCTACGAGGTTTGTAAAGAAGAATTATTCATTTTATTTTGTAATTTGTGTTTTGATAATAGTAATGTATTTTTATCTGTGATCTATTTATTACAATTAAACAATGTAAAATTGTTTAATTTAAAATTCATTATTCCTAATTAGTAATTGAATTTATTTGACAGTATTTAAAGTTAATCTATTAATAAATTTCAATTATTTTTACTTCTTCCTCTTGCACTCAACACATGATAATATAATGTAAATATCTGGTTTGACAGTACTATCTTTATTATAAGTAAATCATTTTTATCATTTCAATTAATAGAATTTCTATTATTGCAAAGAAATGAATTTGAAAAAAGAAACTTTTTATAGGATTTCGGATTAGCTTAAGAATGCAAATGAGTGGAGAACATGAAGTGAGCACAAAAAATTATTAATTGAATAAATTATCGGAAGTAATTGCTACGTCAGAAATATGACATTACGTTTATTCTTCAGAATCTTTGCTATTATTTTAATAAGAAATTTTAATTTTTAAGCAAAAAACGTAAAAAAAATCATTTCAAGTTTTAAGTATATTTCAATATAATATGTTTGACTATATATGCTTTGCTGTATAAATATGCTTTGATAGTTTTAAACTATATATGTTTATGCTACAGAAAAATTGATAATAATACAGGTATTTTAATCAAAATTTTACTCAAAACTTAAAAATTCAACTCGTAATAAAATCGTAAATAATTTTAATTCGTTATAAAATCAAAGCATCGAACGATCAAAACTTAAAACTATACTAATTAAAGAATAAATTTAGAAATTAAAGTTAGCAAAGCACATATATTCAGTATTTATTAGATAATTTAAAAATCTTAAAATATTTTTTGATAATTATGATGAATCTCTCAATATGATATCAATTTTTAAAAATTCAAAATTGACTTACTGATTTTTTTTCAGAATGAATTTCGAAGACACAGAAGAGAAGGAGAGAGGTTAAATTTCCATTTTAAACAATTTGGGGTCAGAAAAGATCACTTTAAGAAAACATACAAATAAAACTGTTGCAGAAAACTGGGCGTTATAGATAAGCAAACAAGCCTTATACAAAGTTTACTTCACGTGAGATACGTATTTAAATTTTATTGAAATTCAGTTTTCTTGCTAGAGCAAAATTGGAATAGATGTTGAACAAATGCAATAAATATAACTGATATTCATTTTTGGTACCGGATTTTGGTACCGATTACACCGATTACATTTACATTCTAACATGTAGTGTAATTGGTACCAAAATAAAATACGATACAAAAACACCACATCATACAGACAACTGAAATGACTAAAATCTGCTTGTTGTCTTACTATTTCCTCAGCCTAAGGATAATGTTAATAACAATAATAATAATGATACCAATATTAATAACTGATACGAAGTTTACAACAAGGGCAAGGAATAATCAGTAAAATTTGAAAATTTTGTTGCAAGTCGGACTCATTGCTTTGTTGATAAACTAGTTTAATTCCAGGAAAGATCAACGTTTACCAATACGATCTATTAATGCTCTAAAAGATCAAGTAGATCATAGCAAAGAATCCTCAGTGTCTCAAAGTGATAAGAATCAGTTAAACGAACGTGATCTAATTTTCAAACATAATGTGAAAAAAAGCAAACGCAGAAGAAAACGTGGTCAACCCAAAAATAAAGAGTCATGCTACAGTAGTCGTAAACATCGAAGGCATAAGCATCATTATTCAAAAATTTCGTAGCATTTCACTGTTTTTATTTTCGTTACTTTAATCTAAATCATTATGATCATAAAATCATACTGATCAAAAATCGTACTGATCATAAGAAGGATTAGAAATACATAGTAAAAATATAAAGCAGTTACAAACTATTTTATCAAAATAAAATAAATAAATACAAATTAATGGTAGATAACCGAGAAAATCACTGAATAAATTCATAATGAACATTTTCTGCAAAATTTAAGTTAAGCTTTCACCGTGATAATCACTGTAGACGTCATTTATTTTTGGTATACTCAGAATAGCTACAAAATTTCAAGGAAGAATAAATTAATGCAAAATATTCAAAATTACTTTTATAATAATACAATGATTAAATTATGATAAAAAAGTTTTTGTAATGCTTTTGTGAAAGACAAAATTTAAAAAATGCTAAATATAAAAAAAAATAAAGATAAAAGATGCAAACGACCAATTTTGTATTATTAATTTTAGCCTTTTCTTTTTTTAAAGTCCATATTTTAAAATTAATATTACAGGTCATGGCAAAAAAAAGTATTGTAAATGTTGGCGTAAATTTCAACGTTTCTTTAGAAAAAAAAGTAAACGCCGACATCATCATAAAAGACGAAAACGTCATCATAAACGTGAATGACTACTTTTGATTTAACAAAATTTATTCAATAATTTGAATAAAAAAAATTTGAATAATAAAATTTGAATAAAAATTGAAAAACTAATCAAACTTAATATTTCATCTAGAATAATTTGTAATTATGATTGATACTAGAATAATAATTAGTTTAGTTTATGACGAAAACGGCATACGGGAAAAACGCTATGATGATAACGTAATATTACAAATCCCTCCTGTTGTTACTCCATCTTCGAAAAAGCTCGAAGAATTAGAAGAAAAAGCTATATCAAGTCAAGCATTAGATAAAAATATTCCATGCGTAGCAGACGAAAGCAAAGAATTGAAAAAGCAAGAAAAAATTGAACAAAATGTGATTGAAAAAGCCATAAAATTAAGTATGCTATTTATTAAATTACAAACTTTATATTTTTTAATATTTTGCGATTAAAAATATTACAAAAGTTTTTGTTATAATTTTTACAAAATATAATTTAATTAAGAAAATAATTAATGCAAATATATACTAAGCACAAATTCTGAACAGCTAAAATATAGGTAAGACAAATTGTGATAGGTTATAGTTAATAATAACATAGCAGCATAATTTGATTACAGTAGGTTATAATTTAAATGTAAGTAGGAAATGATTATTTTAATAATATGTATATTTTTTTAAAATATTAGAATAATAGTTAACAAAGATAAAATTGCTAAAGTTTGTACCAAAACGTTATTAAAAAGTAAAGTTAGCTTTAACAATTAATTAATTACCTTTAGCCTCAACAATCAATTAATTATTATGAATATTATTATTTATCATATATTATTATCTATTATCATGTATTATTATACTCATTATCACTTTATTACTCTCATTATCACTTTATTACTCATTATTTTACTGCTTTCGCATTGCTTTTTGCGTAAAGAATTTGCTACCTAATAAATATGAGACTGAAATAGAAGGCAATAAAAGTTTTTTACTTTACTTTCTATAATTTGCTTCTGTTTCCAGCAACAGCAGAAGATATACAACAGAAAACACCAAATATGGTTAGCTTATAAAATTTGCTTTTTATCATCAATAATTGCTACTGCTGTAGTTATTCTATATTATTATTATTATTATTAGTATTACTATTATTATTATTACTATTATTATTATTACTATTATTATTATTACTTTCATTGTTATTGATAATTATCAATGATTACAATAATTATCGAATAATCACAATAATATTCATAGTTTCCAAACCTTTTAATCTCACGTAATTTGCGTTGGTACTGTTCAAAACTAAAATTTGTCAATGTATTTTATGAAATTTGAAATTTTTGTTTTCATAAATTTCAAGAAATTTTTCGTAATTTAAAGAGAAATATTTGAATAAAGAAGAAATGAACAAAACACAAATGTGAAGTAATCGTAGTATGATAATAACTTATATTAATTAAGTATTAATGACGTAAAAATTTTTCGAATAACTTTGAAAAATTACTTTCTAAATTTCAATCAGTTTTTAACAGTTATTAATGACTAATATCAGAGCTAAAGCGACGAGAAATCTGATTTGTTTGCGACACTCTTCTTGGAAATATAAAATTTGAATTTCCTTCAGTCTTTACACAGAACTTAAGCATTCTGAATAACAAATACTTTTTTATTCATATTAAAACTCAGTTTACTGTTAATAGTCAATAGTATTGTTGTAGTTAAATAATTTTCAATAAATTTGCTTATTTTTTAGGAAGAAACAACAAACTTAGCAGATGAAGAAGTTCAGATCACAGTAGAGCCATCGGATCAGCGCGACTTATGTAGATCTATTTAACTTCCATCTATTCCACATGTCAAATTAATACAACTATTCATCAATTTTTGAAATTAAATACATATTTTTTGCTAAAATAAAATTGAACACTGATATTTGATTGTTTTTTTCGTTTTTTTTTTGTTGATTAATTTATGCAAATTTTTTGCAGACATGTGCCAGAGATACAAAATTACTGAATTCATTAGAGAAGTTGCTAAATTAGGGCTGGAAGGGATGAAAGAAGAATTTATTAATCACAGATCTTTTATCCCTTATGCTGCCACTAAAACTGCGCATGATAACAATTTGATAAGATGTCGATATCCAGGTATGTTTTTGTGCATTCATCAGTACAGTTTGCAAAGCATCAAGTATTTGAGTTTTAATATTTTATTGATTTGCTGTTTAATAATTATTAAATTAAGATCTTAAAATTGTGTTTTCATAAATCACAAAAAATTTCGCTTAATTATCTTGCAAAAGAAGTATAAATAAGGAAGTAATTATAAAGTAATTAGAGCAAACTTGCAATTTTATAAAATAAATTATATAATCTTTGCAGTAAATCATTCTAATTACGTTTTCAGCTCTAATTTTTATCGCATTTAATTTTTAAATTCAAAATGTAATGTTAATAAAAGGATAAATATTTAATTTATATATTTATTCACAAGAAACGAATTTATTTTAAAAGTTTTTTCAAATTCAGACGTGATTTGTATTGATCAAACACGTATTATACTTCGAATTGGTGACGAAAAATCAGATTTTATACATGCAAGTCGAATTCCACTCGGTGATAACCCAAATGAAGTTTGTCAACATTAATATCATCTTTATGAGATTTAAATCTAAGCAATTATGAATTATTATATATTGAAAAATTATACAGAATTTTCCGATTTATAATAATTAAAATTTTACTTTAGATAAGTGTTTAGATAAATTTTTTAATTACAAAAATGATTTGTGAAATTTAAAATTGCTAAAAAGTAATCAGTTCAGATCATAATTACTCAACTGCCATTATCGAATACAGTGAAGCAATTTTGGGAAATGATTTGGCAGGAAAATGTTCAAGCTATTTTAGTATTTCTAACACTGAAGGAATGGAAAGAGCATGGAGAAAATATTCGATTAATCCCCAAAAAAGGGTTCAAATTTAAAATTATGCTAATTACCTTTTAATTGTTAATATTTTTATTAACAATAAAATTAAAAAATTTGTTATTATTGCAGAAAATGCTTGCACATTAAAGGCTTAATAATGTTAACACACAAAAATGAATTACAAATCACATCTCACTGGATTTTACAAGAATTTTATCTTTCGAAAAATAATGAAACTCGTCGAATCCTATGGCATCACTATACTGGCTGGGAGCCGAATAAACCTCCAGTGGATAGTAATCACCTTTGGCCTTTGCACTCTTCCCTTAGGCAAATTTTTGACCTCTTATAAAGCATCAATTTTGTCCGCAATGACAAACGATTCACTCACGTTCGAAGCTTTACTACGACAACTGAAACTAAACTTTGCTTACTTATGCAGATTTTTTCATGTCCATAGTAATTTTCACAATAATTTCATTGTGAATTTTTGTTTCTTACATATAAATATTTTTATTCACAAAAATCCCATTCAAGTTATTCTTAATATTCTTTGATTTCTAGAAAAATGCGTAGGCCATACGTTTGTATCAGTCTTGCAGGAATTGGCAGGGCTGGATGCTACGCTGCTCTAGAAGTTTGAATTTTTAGTTTTGATTAAACAAAAATATGATTTTGTATGAAAAAATTCATACTTCAATTTTCTTTATTATATTTAATTAATTAGATTTAAAAAATCCTTTAAACTTTTGGCACCAATTAACTGACTTTGAAATATTTGTTACAAATTATAAGATCTTTATCCTCTTTATTATTAAAGTATTAATTTTCGTCTAACAAAAAGACTTAATACAGTAATTTTATAGCATTTATGAAGTACAGTAATTATAATAACTTTAGTGGGCACATGAAATGTTACATAATAAAAATACTTCTGCAATAAACATTGTGGAATGTTTAAAAAAAATTCGTACATATCGAATGCATGCCATACAGTCAGTTTCACAGTATCAATTCGTTTATATGGGCATACAAAGACATATTTTCCTCGTTGAAGTAATTTTATCTCTACTAATTTTTGGCATTTCTACAAAATATTAGCTATATTTGCTATTACACTTTGAATAATTTACAATAATAATATTTAATATAATAATAATATTACAAACAATTATAATGATAATGATTTACAATAATAATATTTATTGTTATCACACAAAAGCTTTAAGAGTTTTTTGTGAAAAAAATCATTTTTTATAAAAAAATTGTTTCAAAAAGTTTTTCAAAATCATAAATATATATATATTAAATAGTAAATAATTATTTACTTAATTATGTATTACAAATTTGAAAGATCAAAAAAGCAATGAAATATGAATAAAATGCAAATGATAAGTTGCATTTTTAACTGTTAAATTGATCATATAATATTTTATTATTATTAGATATACCAAATAATAAATTATTATTATTGTAATTATTTGTACTATTATTATTGTATTGTATTATTGTATAAAATATTATTATCGTAAAATAGACTCAAAATTTGTGAATTAAATGCATTGCTTAGAGATATTTATGAAATGGTATGTTTTTATTATAAAAAATTGCATAATAAAATTCTGGAAAAATGAAGATTTACTTTTCTTGATTTTATTGATTTATTTATTACGATTATTCCATAACTTATCTCACAGTAAAAAAGTTGAATTAAATATGACAAAAAAATTAACATTACAATAGAAGCAACAGGTTATGGAATAATCGCAATAGGTTATTGTAATGAAAAAACATAACTGCTATAATAAAAATTAATTATTCTCGTAATAATTTTTTTTCACTAATTCTGGTATTTTATTGATTTATCTAAAATGAATAAAGAAAAAAGTTTTCAGAAAATTCGTAAAGAAATTCTGTCCCATCCAGCAATATTGCAAACAACTAGAAAATGCGCATATATTGAACATCAATATTATCAGTGTGGTGATCGCGCAGAGGAATATGAATTTAATTTGTGATACAAATTTAAATTACCGCAAATAATACTTCTATTTTCAGTATTATGCATACTTTGCGTTTGTTTTATTTTGTACACAAACATATTAATTTTATATTGCAATATTATTTTTAGCAGTAATTATTGACAAATGAAATTAAGTTTTGAATTCAGTTAATAAGTTCGAAAGTTTTTGCTGATATACAATGATAAATAATACGGATATTCATAAATCTGCTAATCGTAATTACTCATATAATTTATTTTAAAATTTTGAATACAAATTTATGTGTAAGTGCTGTTTTTGTGTCTTTTATTTAATGAGAACAAATGAAATTCAGTCAACTTCTTCAATTTTTGGTCCATCTGATTTGGGACGGAAAGTGGAAGAACCATTGGGCTGATGTAATTTGACCATTATTGGCTTACAGATTGATTGCAGTTGATCGTGATGATAATCATAATCTGATTTATCTGCTTCTTGATTTCTTTCTAGCCATCTTAAAATTTATTATGCATTGATCTTTTGGATTTACATAATTATCTTTAAAAACTTAAATAGGAGACATTAAAATAGTAGAAAGTAATGAAACAAATATTTTAGAATCTTGAACGATGTAACAACAAATGAGAAATCAGGATCAGATTCAAAAATCAGAATCGCATTTCAAATCAGAATCACATTTCAATCAAAATTTTCTAAAAATTGAAAGTATACTCAATAAAATATGTAAATTTACATTGCAGATTGCATCAAATTCAATATTATTCAATTTTCTAATTCAAAAGTCCAAATGAAAAAGTCAGGAAAAATTTTGCAAACAAACATGTATGTACCTTATAGCATTTTCACATTCATCAAGTGCACGATGACGATCAGATGAACTTAAACGATTGCCATAATCCTCAACTGCTTGTTTCACGTGATACACGTATGTTTCAAAATTATTGCGTGCTCCAATACGTTCGCGTGATTCACGATCTTCACGTTCAAATCGCTTAGCATCATTTATCATGCGTTCAATTTCTGCTTTTGATAATCGTCCTATAAATGTGATTGATTTTTATTTATATTTTTATTTCCGCAATAGTTTCTTATTCACTCAATATCTAAGACTTTCAATACTACAATACTACGTGTCCTTTGTTCTTAATTCTCACGTTCTTAACAGATAAAATTTATACCTAAAAAACTTTCCGTCATAATTTCTACGAAAAATTGACCTTTTTCATTTTTAATTTGTATTTTGTTACTTTTTCCAGTAGAGCGTTCAACAGCAGCAACACTTAAAATTCCATTTGCATCGATATCAAATGTTACTTCAATTTGTGGGATTCCACGTGGAGCTGGTGGTATTCCCATTAAATCAAAATTACCTAGCATATTATTATCTTTTGTCATGCTACGTTCACCTTCAAATACCTGCAACGAGTATATCGCATTTCTTTTAGCAATTATTAAATGCACAAACAGTTATTTACTTAATACTTCTTAATTAAAAATAAAGATAATTTAAAATAGATGATTTATATGATTTATGATTTTTTTTGTTATGATTTTTTAGCTAATTAATTAATTAGCTAATTAAATAAAGATTTTGCAGAACGTACTTTTTTAAATGAATTTTTAAAAGTAAAGAATAAAAAAAATAAAGTTCAGGCAGGTTTAGAGATTTCTTTTTCGTATGAAATAATTTTTTCTCATTTTAAGTTTCAAATTCAAATTTGTATTCCAACCTGTACGCTAACTCCTGGTTGATTATTTGAAAATGTAGTAAACATTTTTGATGTTTTTACAGGAATTCGAGTATTTCGTTCAATTAAAGTAGTCATCACTCCACCAGCAGTTTCAATACCTAAAGAAAGTGGTGTCACATCAACTAGCAACACGTCTTTCACATTTGCATCACGTACGTCAGTGAGAATAGCTGCTTGAACTGCTGCGCCATAAGCTACTGCCTCATCAGGATTTATAGAATGATTAAGCTCTTTACCTATAAGAAAATTTTTAAAAATAAAAATTTAAATTCAATACAAACTTATAAATTATTAATAAACTGTATCATGCGTTATAATTAGTCTGCTATACTGTTAAATTTCCTGCATAGTGAAATTTATGATACAGTTTTCCAATAAATATTCTGTAATCACTTATCAGAGAGCAGAATTTTGAATCAATATCAATCAATATATATAAAGATTAACTTTAATTAAAAAGCAGTAATAAAAGCAAAAAAGAACCATTAAAAAATTCAGAAAGTAATTTTTGAATCTTTGGAATCCTCGTTGAACCACCAACTAATACTACTTCATTAATTTCATGCTTTTTTAGTCGGGCATCTTCCAATGCATTTTCTACAGGTTTTAATGTTTTTCGGAACAAATCACCGCATAATTCTTCAAATCTCGCTCGAGATATTGAAGAATAAAAATCAGTGCCTTCATACAGACTATCTATTTCGATAGTTGCTTGAGTAGAGCTTGATAACGTTCGTTTTGCTCTTTCACATGTTGTACGTAATCGCCGTAATGAACGTGGACTACGTGTGATATCATTTCCTGTTTTACGTTTAAATTCATTTGTGAAAAATTGAACAAGTCGATCATCAAAATCTTCACCACCAAGATGAGTATTTCCAGCAGTGGCCTTGACCTCGAAAAGTGATCCTTCAGCGATTGAAAGTATTGAAACATCAAATGTGCCTGTGAATACAAATTTGAAATTACAAATTTCAAAGTTTTGCGCACTTTCGAATAATATCTTAATCTTAGTTTATTTTGCTAATTAAATAGGATGACAAATTCAAAGCATAGTTAAATTATTTTAATACAAATTATTTTTCTTTCAAAATCAAAAATTCAAATTTTTTGATTATTTAAATTTAAGTGTGATAACAATTATTTTTCAAATTCTAGCAAATTTTTTACAAATATTTAATTAAATTTTAATAAAATTATTATTTGTGTATGAACTATTTAATTATTTGAAAAAATAATACATGTAATAAAATTTTGCTCTCACGCTAATCGTCTGCTAAGATAATTGATATAAACACATCTATGAGTTAAAATCACAAAGGAACAAATATTGAATACGTATGCAACTGTTACTAAAACTCTCATCTATTTATATTTATTATTAAATTATTAACTTGTAGTATTATTAAGTTATTGGTGCATAACTGAGATGCCTTTGTAAATATTACAACATATTCAATAACTTAAATTAAATTCTAACGCATAATAAACAATAAAATTTTGAATTAGCTTTTAAATTTAAAAAATTTTAATTTTATTATTTTTTAAAAACTTTGTTTTTGTTTTTTAAATTTAATACTAGCATACATGGCATGCATACCTCCTCCAAGATCAAATATGAGAACATTTTGATCATTTTTTAATTTCTTATCAAGGCCATATGCTAATGCTGCTGCTGTTGGCTCATTAATAATTCGCAAGACGTCTAATCCAGCGATAATTCCAGCGTCTTTAGTCGCTTGTCGCTGACTATCATTAAAATATGCTGGTACTGTGATAACTGCTTTACTTACAGTAAATCCCAAAAAAATTTCAGCTGTTTCTTTCATTTTACTCAAAATCATAGATGAAATTTCTTCTGGAGTAAATGTTCGTTGTTCATTCTTAAATTCTACTTCGATTGCTGGTTTGCCATTTTTAGAAATTACTTTAAATGGCCATAAACGCATATCTTCTTGAACTTTTGGATCGTTTAACTTTCGTCCTATCAATCGTTTTATTGAAAAAATTGTATTTTCTGGATTACGAGCTACTTGATCATATGCTGAATCACCAATTAAACGTTCACTTTCCGTAAATGCAACATATGATGGCGTAGTTTTGTTGCCTTGGTCATTAGCTATTATTTCTACTCGACCATATTGATAAACACCAACACAACTATACGTAGTACCTAAGTCAATTCCAATTGCTTTGCTACTTCCCATTACGTGAAATTTGAGTGATTCTACGTGTATCACGCTGAAAATTCTTCTTTTTCATTTAATTTTTCATATATAATATAACCATTTTTTTTTCTGATTTCAGGAAATTATTATTTATTTTAATTATTTGAAATACGTACTGCATATAAGCGTACTATTTTAGAAAAAAGTAATAACTTTACAAAAATAATAAATTGAATAAAAATACAAGGGAATGAGGAGTTATTTGCATAACCTCACCTGAATGATCAACGAATATTAAGTAAAGAAATGTTTTGCAAGTACCAGTTTAACGTGTCAAATCGAGTTACTTTAATGTATGTTCTCAGATTCTCTGCTATACTTTACTTTCATGAAAAAATTTAACTTTCAAAGTTGACATATAAAAATTAGAAAAGTTATAAATTTTCAAAAAATATATTTTTATTAGAAAAATGCTTCAACAGCTATTTTTTTCTGTTTACATTTCAATCAAAACTTGATGAAAATATTTTTCAATGCTGCCATCTGAATCATCACTTCTGAATCATAGATAACATTTTTCGACTTGACTCATTACTAACTGAAGAAGATGTAGTCAAAAAACTGCTTTTATTCGTACAAAAATGTTTGTTTTTTATTTCTTCACTTAATGGTCGTTGTACAGTTAATTTTTGTTTACGAGCTGATCATTTTTATAATTATACATTTTATTATTTTTTTGACCTTTTTAAATTACTCCAAAATTCACTCTAAACAGTAAACAAATTTTGAAAATACTATAAATAATACATTACATACTAATTATTAAAACTTTCAAAAACTTTCAACCTTAATCTTTCAGAACTATATTTAAATCAGTAAATTATGTTGAACTTTTCTTTACATGGCATAATAAAAGCATGACCTAAGGTCAATAAGTACCTAAGGTCATGCTTTTATTATGCCATGTAAAGTTCAACAGAAAATAATAAACTTATTTTTTGTTAAACTGTACATAATATGCATGACCTAGATAATAGTAAATAATCTTTACTTGACTGCACTTATTAGAACGTTGCAAATGTCAAAGTGCAATGTAATCATTTTTTTAAAGTATACTTTGCGTTTGCATTCAATTTAATAACAATACTTTTCCATAATTTTTTAACAGAACACAAATACAAATTTAATACAGTACAGATATTATATGGTAATAATCGAGTAGACAAAAAAAAATCAAAAATTGAAATAATTTAGGAATTTGATGAAATTAAGTAAATATTAAGTAAATGCATAAAGCATTGAACTAAATGCTAATTTTTGTTTGTTTTAAATTTTTTATACAAAATAGTGCATTTAAAAATGATTAAAATTTACAATATTATAAATATTTCAGTATTAATATTTAAATTACATCAAATAAATAAGTAAAATAAAAATTATGAATACATAAAAAAGAAACAATAAGTAAAAATAACTTTTTGATCTGAAAAAATTGTATTGAGCAAGCAAAAATACCACTAATGTATTTAAAAAAAAGAATTGAAAAAAGTAAAAAGTTGTTTGCGATGGTTTTTTTAATTTTTTAAGTAAAAAAATGGCTAATGGAATTTTTTTTTTCTTACGTTTTTATAAAAAAATAACAATATTGTATGAAAGTAATTTTAGAATAAACGTTACTTAGATATATCAGTGTTTTATGTAAGGATTAAATATTAAGATCATTATCCAACGATAAAACACCGCAGCAATTATTAATTAATATATTTAAATTATTTACTATTCCGAATAAATTAATTAATTATGAACAATATAGCTATTGCACGTGTAAAAACGTTTGCAATCTGTTTTATTTTATTACAATCAAAATCAAACATTTTGAATTAATGAAAAGTTGCACAGATTTTAAACTGATTAACAACGCAAATTTAAAAAATATCAAAATTTATCAAATATTTTTTCAAGTTTATTAAATAATATGCCTTTCAAGAATTAAAGTAATTAGTATTTTAATTAATATTCATTGCTGCATAAATACTATGCATATTTAAACAGATATGCATAAGCATGAAAAAACATACAAGGATACGTTTCTATTCACGCATATATTTTTTATTTTTGTCTCTCA